GGCCAATGGCAACACAGTCTGTCCTGTGTATGGGTGGAGCCAATGGCAACGCAGTCTAACCTGTGTATGAGTGGGGCCAATGGCAACACAGTCTGTCCTGTGTATGGGTGGAGCCAATGGCAACGCAGTCTATCCTGTGTATGAGTGGGGCCAATGGCAACACAGTCTGTCCTGTGTATGGGTGGAGCCAATGGCAACGCAGTCTATCCTGTGTATGAGTGAGGCCAATGGCAACGCAGTCTATCCTGTGTATGAGTGGGGCCAATGGCAACACAGTCTGTCCTGTATATGGACAGGGTCAATAGCAATGCAGTCTGTCCTGTGTATGGACAGGGTCAATAGCAATGCAAGCTACCTGTGAATGCTGCAGGGTCGATGGAAATCCACTCCACTGTGTATGTCTTCTGAGTGGCTTCATCAACTTCCTGCTTCAGGTGCATGGTGATCTCTTTGGCGTTGTAGGTCAGCGCACTGGAGGACAACATACTGATCTGTCCTCAAGGCATCTTTTGGACAGTAGTCATTATTTCTGTCCTTAATAAGAAACAACAAGCCTATCAAAGAAAGGCATGTTTCTTAAGCGTACTTGATCAATTGGAGGGGCCTGTAGGGCTTTCAGCACCATGGTAACTACTTATGAATTAAATTTGACTCTCAGGTCCAGCACCTGATTGGTCAGAGCCATCTGACAGTAGACTAGTTATACAGAAATGCCCAGATTGACATTCCCTGAAAGCGGCCATGCTGACCCCTGCAGGAGAATAGCTGCTGCTGTTTGCTTGAGAATGATGCTCTAAAAAAACTTCCTAAAGTACCCGCCAGCATGGCCTGTACCTGAACTTTAGTGTGCAGTTCTGCCAGTCAAATGGGAAGTAGTTGACATTGATGGCACAGGAGCTGCGGAAGATGGCGGGTGGCAGCCAGTAGACAGAGCCGTCGGGGTAGACCAGCACATTGCAGTAATAGGCGACCTGGAACTGGGCATCATTGCTGGTGTGGGGTGACATGGCACAGCAGGTAATTCAACCAGCAGATCCTTAATCACAGTTTACACCTTGGTTTTAGCAAGCAAGCCCACTCTTTTCTGCTTTCAATACTGTAAGCATGCCGAGGGAGGGTTGCACAGCCAGCACACCCAGAGGTTTCTTTCTCCCTACTTGGGGATTTTTGGTTCCTCCCCTCCATTTTCATCTGGCTTGCATTATTTAATTTCTTTCCCTCCTTTTCCCCGTTTTTTACTGCTCTCTCTAATGATGTTGTGATGTATCAAAAAACATGTATCAAAGCACCTCAGGACATCTCTGTCATGAAAGGCGCTACACAAACTTAAATTGAATTGAATTGAATTCGACATGGTATGAGGATAAGTCGAGCTTCACAGACCTTTGGTGGGGGGGGGGTTCAGTATCGTCACATGCGCTCATGCTTACTCACTTATTCTCCAGCACGATTTCGGGAAGCCAAATCATGCTGGATGGCAACCGGAGAACATCGATATCCCCGAATTCCGAGGTGTTCCAGGACAGCCGTGGGTCGGACCACATCTGGAGATAACAAGAAACTAGAACCTTCCAGAGCCAGGACGGTCAATCAGCTGCCGCCACAGAGCAGCTAACACGCCCAGGTGAATATTGAACACTGAAGCCAAGATGAGCGCAGATACAGGAGCTGGGTGTACATTTGCCTACTCACATGCTCCATCCAAACGTTTGTAAGCAGCGTTTCATCAACTTCTTTCTAAAAAAAAAAAAAACTTCTAAAAATAAGTAGCTGAGTAGATTTCAGAAATGATTATTATGGGTGTCTCGGATAAATAGAGCGAAAGCTCAGCGTGGCACTCACCAGCGAGATGAGGTTTGACAGGATGAGGGCGAGATACACGTCCACCGCATCGTCCTTGTTGCCCACTGGCCGCAGCTCCTTGTTATAGCCGCGCTCCTTCATCAAGTAGTTCAGGAGCTGCTCTTCCTCGTTCCTGGCCCAACATCCTGAGAGCCGAGGTGAGACGAGAGAGTGGTTGGAATGAGGAGCCCATGATCCGGTGCAATGAGATCACCAACAAGACAGCATTACACTTTCCCGAAACATGCACTCGATGGTAAAAGGAATCCATACTTACAGGCGGTCATTTTTGTATATAATTTACACTATTTATTATTTAGAGTAAATATGCAGTAGAGACTCAAGACAAAGCCAACCAATCCAAAGCTAAAAAATAAACCCTTGACACACAACTTTTGTTTACTGTAGACTCTTCCACCATGCCTTTCAAAATGATGAACAGCAAAAAAGGCTCCACAGCTTTCATCTCATCCATGTCACAGTCAAAGCGTTTTCTGAGAAAATACATGAACTTATGATGACGTGTCACAAGGACGCACGGTTGAGGGGGGTTTTGAGACATACCTGCGGTGTAGAGTGAAATCCAGAACAACACGGCAAAAGCAAAGTAGGACACTTTCATGATAGTTTCCCTCCTTTGTTACACAGTCTTTCGCAATGAGGAGTCTCTTTAAGCCTTCTGCTGTCGGCCCCTGATGGACAGGAGCAGGTGGGGGAACTGGGAGCCCAAAATAGACGTGCTGGGTTTCGGGAATGGCTGGTGGGGGCAGGAACCAAGAGAAAAACAAAAGAAAGAGGAGCCGAGCTTGATTTTGGCAGCCCACAGAATCGGTCCATCAGATTTTAGGCAGCTTTTACCCCTGAATCCATAAATCTTGAGCAGTCAGTCTTCACCTTGTTCAGTGCAAAGAAGTCGGAGCGAAGCCCCGAGCAGAGGGGGCACCCGTAGGCTGGTGTAAAGCCCTACATAGCAAACTGTTTGGCAGAGACATGGGCCCAAAACAAGCCACGCTGACCAGCCAATACCATGCACCCCTGAATGACAGCAAGTTTCCCAATGGGGAATAGACAGGGGGGTGTCTATGTGTGGAGGGGAGGGGGGGTATACATCCAGATAAGACAAGTCTCAAACACCACTTGTAAGCTGGAAAGTGCCACAGTTTGACGAGGCAGGAGTCTTAGACAAAATGTTGCTCATTATGACGCACGAGTCAAACACTCCGCAGCCTCTGATTAAATGGCCTGACCATGTGCTCAGGAGTGTGTTATTTCAGCTGAATGCATGGTGCCCAGTCAGTCACATAGCATAAATTCCTGGACACAAACTGAACACATTCCAGCTTCTCTGACAGACTTTACCAGAGAAGACAGCAAGGGCATACACTCACCTAAAGGATTATTAGGAACACCTGTTCAATTTCTCATTAATGCAATTTTCTAATCAACCAATCACATGGCAGTTGCTTC